AATATTAATATACTATATTAGTAATATACTAATATAAATTTTATATATTTATATAATATAAGTTAAATAATTAATATAATATTATTATTTATATATATTAATATTAGGGATGTCAAACTGACTCGTCGTTCCTGAACAACTCATGTTCCGCTCGTTCGTTAAAAAACGAATACAAGCAATGACTTCATGAAAAATTTCAAACACGAACTTATTTCAAACAAACTAAATTTCAAAGAACCGAACACGAACACAAACTCTGTTCATTCGTGTTCAGTTGGTTTACACCCCTATCTACGCCTAACATCATGTGTCATATTTTAAAATTATTATTGTTTTTAATTATTTACTTTTAGAATCAAATCTATCATATCTTTGTTATACAAAGTTATTTGTTATTGGATTTAGAAAAGTGTATTTATGAGGAACTCTGTATTTGTTGTTGGATGTATATGACCGATCTCAACCCATGCCCCTATCAATAGACGATATTTGAAGAATAATATACAAGATTACCTATATAAAAGCCTTTCGCTTATTTCTTTTTTATTCTTTGTCTATGTCTTGTGGTATTTCCTTTATATTTGATTCCTCTCTTATTTGAATCTTTTATAATGATCTAGGAGAAAGATTTATATGAATCAAACAAATATACAGTGACATATAAATAGACAATCAGGCGGCTCCGAGCTCCCTTCAAAAGAACCAAAAAAAACCGCATCTCGTAGATTTGTCTTTGATAACCACAAACTTGAAATCTAGAGCATTTGCTTGTAGCATTAAATAGTTGTTGAAAGATTTGTTTACATAAAATTTTCTTATTCTTATTGCAGCCATCACTATCAATGAGAAAGAAAATTTTGAACTTCAATATGTACATCCAAAAAGAGTCGACGTAGACCTGGAGGAAACTCAGAGGAAGTAGAAAGGCAAAAGTATCGAGGACAACCAAGGATTATCAGCACGAAACAAATCACACCCACCTAAAAAGAATGGATGGCCGACCGGCCAGCCGAGCAGGGAGGAGGGCCCAAACAACAAGCACTCAGTCACACTCACAAGAGTCATAACCCTTGCTTATCGATGGACTAAAAAGCAAATCGGAACAGTACATAATGTAATCTTGGGCCAGCCTATACTTATAAATATAGGGGGCCTCCATATTAGAGGGGAGGGGTGGAGACTTTTTCTGATTATTGCAGGCGTGCTATTGCTTTCTCTCTCTCTATCTAATGCACTATTCCTTTGGTGTGTACATAAATATAGGGGGCCTCCATATTAGAGGGGAGGGGCGGAGGCTTTTTCCACTATTCCTTTGGTGTGTATGCTGTCCAGATGCAAATCCAACACATATTCATTAATTTTATTTGTATAGATTGCTCTTATTTATAGAAGGTGAATCATAATTTACACAAACCTCAAATGATTTTTTGTCTATCATATTCATAATCTCGTGTGGGCAGGGGTCTTATCCTGTTATTTTTTTTTGCGGCATGAGCATGTAATATTTTATATTGCCATACTAAAATTTCAATGCCAACACTACTTACATAATACGCACTCTTCAGCGCTACAAAAAAAACAGGAAGCACGACAGAACATCTCAACGAGAATCCAATCACCTTCCTTCCCCTGTAACGAGCTGAGAGAACACCATACTCGTCGATATCTCGGACTCTTTCGGCGAACTCGAGGCCGTGACCACCTCTTCCTCGCCCACATTCTCCGCCTCATCCGACGGATCCCTCCTCACCGATTCCGCCACCGCAATCTGCGACTCATTGACGATCCCGCTATCCTCAAACGGCTCCCTACTTAACTGCGTTACCTGCAACTGCAACGCGTACTCCAAATTCCACAGCACATCACCAATGCTCGGCCTATCCCTGCCGTATTCCGCCAAGCAATTGGCCGCCGTCTCCCCAAATTTCCTCAGAGAATTTTCGTTCATCTTCCCCGCCAATCGCTGATCCACAATCTTTTCAAGCTGCCCCTTTTTCAGCCAATGAAGCGCCAACTCGGCGAGATTGACATGGTCGACAATGGGTGGCCGCGCGCAAAGCACTTCGAATAGGACTACGCCGAATGAGTAAATGTCGGATTTTTCGGTGAGTTTCATGATCTTGAAGTACTCGGGGTCGATGTAGCCGAATGTCCCCTTCACAATGGTGCTGACATGGGTCTCCCCAAAGGATGGTCCCAGCAGAGAGAGCCCAAAGTCGGAAAGTTTGGCGATGAAGTTCTCGCCTAGGAGGATGTTGGTGGACTTCAAATCGCGGTGGATTATGCTCTGAGAGTATCCGGTGTGAAGGTAGTGAAGCCCTCTCGCCGCACAGATACAGATCTCCAGTCTCTGTTTCCAGGACAAACAGGGAAGATCTGAGTCGTAGAGGTAGCTCCTTAGAGTTCCTTTTTCCAGGTATTCGTAGACCAGTATCATCTCTGAATTCTCCTCACAGTAGCCGATGAGGGAGACGAGGTGCCGGTGACGGATTCTGGAGAGGAAGACGATCTCTGTTCGGAACTCGGGATATCCCTGTCTTGAACCAGGAACCGCGCGCTTTACGGCGACTTCGGTGCCGTCGTAGAGGACTCCTCTGTACACTTTCCCGAACCCACCAGCGCCGATTAACTGTTTCTCATCGAAATTGTTCGTCGCGAACATGACTTCCGCAAAACATATTTGGAGACCAAGATTGAATCGCGGGGAAGCAGAGCTGTTCTGTGTTTGATGGGTCGTGGACTCGCTCCGTGCGCTTACAACCCCGTGGTTGTAGTGCGACCATGACGTCGTATGCTTGATGTCCTTCTGTTCCTCAGCCTGATTTTGTAGTTGCTGCCGCCGCCGCCGCCGCCGCCGCCGCCGCCGCCAGCTGCCGCGACGGCGTAAGCATAATAGAAGAGCGAAAAGCAGAACAGCGAGAGTAACAATACCGCCGATAATGGAAAGGAGTAAAATTGAGAACAAATGCTTGCCGGCGTGGCTTCTTCTGTCGCTATCAGAGAGACCGAACTCTCCGGCGAGACTGAGATGCGAATTGCTCAGCTTCATGATCTCTAATCCGTTCAGCAAAGCATTAGGCGGTTCGCTGTTGGCCGCCGGCTCGATACTAACGTTCAGAGGACCTGACACTGGTGCGTCGGCGATGAAATCATAATAGAATGGAATCATTGTCCTCCAGTTCGTCATACTTCCAGGTTCAAGATTCTTACGAGCGAATGAATCACCGATGTAAACTTGGAAATAGAAATTAGAAGGATTTGGAAACCAGCAATTGCAAAAATGCATCCGAACAAGGTATTGGAATCCCGGAGGCACGTCGAAGCTCCAGGTAAGGTTGAAGAGGGAGTTCGCCATGCCGGTGGAGTTGTTCAGCGTGCGCGCTGTACTGTAGACCATTTCAGGGGCGATTGATCGAGTTAGGCCGGCGGCTGTCGGATACTCGATTCTACCGGTTGTGCTGCTTTCGACGGAGAAGCTCTTATCAAATAAGTAGCGATAATCGTCGGTCTCCCATGTTCTCCAAAGCGTGTCGTTCGCCGGAGTTATGAGTTGGCCGCCGATGTTGACGCGGTAGAGAGTCTCCGTCGCCTGAGGGGAAAAGTTGTCATCTTGAGAGATACCGGAAGTCGTTATGTAAATAGGCCGGCTTGCGTTGATGAGATTGGGAGGGGATAAGATGAGCTCGAGGGCGTTGATAAAGGCGAGGTTATTTGGGGCAGGGGAGAAAGTGAGGAGAAGAGTTGATGTATCGATCCATAAAAAGAACTCTTTTATGTCCGACTTGGAAGGGAAAGGCGAGAAGGAGGAGAGGAGGAGGTAACGTTTCATGGCGGAGACAGTGAATTGGGCTTTGGAGGTGGAGTTGAAGGGGAAGAAGTGGAGGCGGAGGATGTAGAAAGCGTTGGGGTCGACTTCGAAGCTGTAAGAGGAAGGGGAAGTGAAGAGGCGGGCGGTGGTGTAGAGGGGGGACACAGCGGAAGCTGAAAAGGAGTCTGTTTTGGAGTTGGAGGAGGAGAGGAGGAATTCGCCGTCAGGGGTGAAGGTGCGCGGGGGAGTGTCGCTGGTGAAGTTGACGTTGGAGGAAGATCCGCAAGAGAGGAAGATGGGGCTGAAGGAGGGGGATGAGAAAGGGAGGATGAGGAGGAGTAAGGTGATGGCGACCAGAGGTTCGGCAGCCATGGAAGAGGTTGGGAAGGAGAGTGGATGTGGAATTGGACGGCACTGAGATGGAAGATAAAGGTGTCTACGTCTGGTCTAATGATCTGATGATGATGTCAAATATTATCCTTTATTACTGGCCAATAATCTTTTCACAATCATATTTATTTAACATCAAAGTGTTTGAGGATATATAATTGTTTAAATTTATTTAGCTCAAACTTTAATGAGAATATTCTAACCCAAAATTTATTTCTAATTAATTTAAGAAGATGGGGGACAGAGTCCGCGGACTACCAAGTCATCGAAAATCATCCGCGGACTTTGAAAGCAGACGTCAAGGAATATGTTCGGCCGTGGAAATTTCTCTCACAAAGAATATATATATATATGGGACCCCAACGGACAAACTAATTCATATGAGATAAAAATTATTGTATACATAAACTGTATGCAGAGATGCATGTAGTATTTGATTTTGACCTTAAAACACGGTTATCTACGGTCATGATGTACTTTGGTGGGCCTCACTTTAAATTTTTTTTAAAAAAAAAATTTTGATTGCATCCTGACTGTAGATCACCGTGATCTACGGTCAGGATCGGACACCGCATGCATCTCTGCATGCGGTGTATGTATGCAATAATTTTTCATATGAGAGAGCCAAACTTGTAGAATGTCGTTTAAATAGAATCAATGACAAGGATTTCCCTTGCGCCATCTCGACATGAAAAAAATATTATATTCAGATTCAGGATGTGAGGACAACGGCCGGGATGCAACGAGAAGGGCGGAAGTCTAATCCCCGCCCTCCGTCGGTGCATTTGGGCAGTTGTCCGCACATCCGGACATCCGAATGTAATAAGTTTTCCTCGGCATGGGTCAAGGTAAAAAGCTGGAAGAATATGAAGAAGAGTCGAATGAGCCCGGTTCCAAATCCTACAACAGGGAGAGCTAAGAAAGAGCAAAGTGGCTTAAGGAAGATGAGCAGTCAAAGGATCTATTTTGCAGCACTATGATGATCAATTTCTTGCAATTTAATACAATTTAGTAGCCATGAGCACTGATTTTGTCTCTACTAAGTCAATTCCATTTTTTTTAATACAACCTTCAGATGACATAATCTTGTTTTGAGTTTAAAAGCCTATATTGTCAAACAACTCTGATTGCAACATATTTATGCCAATTTCGCTAAGTAGTTTTGCTATATATATGCTTTTATTTTTGTTGAAAGTTTTTGTGGTGGTAAGCAGTCAATTGTATACTTACCGTTTTGGTTGTGTTTGCGCCTCTTATTGGAGAAATGGTTCCATGTGGTGATTGCACGTTCGGAGGGCATATTAGATGGGTGGTCATGCGATACACGACAATGTCAGACCGATGTCCGAACGTGTTGTTAGCCTTACATAATAATTTTCCCACTTATTGACTTTTGAATGGCTATAAAGACGATTTACGTGTACAATCGATAAAAATAGGTTGTGTTTATAGTAGCCTTTTTTTTAAATTTTTTTTAAACTTGTTAGAAAACTGAAATTGAGCGACTAATTGTAGCAAATAACTAAATAACTAAAAAATGAGAGAAAATGTATAAATATGTTAATTGGAGGGTGAGAATATATTAAGGGGTTTATACATACATACCATTCAATTCCTATGTATTTACATATTGAACATGTAAAGTTTACTTTTTTACATTTATATGACCCAAATTTTAAATATCACTATTAATATCACTATTAAAGTTTGGGCCGTTTAATGTAAAAATTTTAAAAATTAGGTGTTAGTTAAGTAAATACATAGGAATTGGGTGTCTTAAGGATTTCCCTTGCGCCATCTCGACATGAAAAAAATATTATATTCAGATTCAGGATGTGAGGACAACGGCCGGGATGCAACGAGAAGGGCGGAAGTCTAATCCCCGCCCTCCGTCGGTGCATTTGGGCAGTTGTCCGCACATCCGGACATCCGAATGTAATAAGTTTTCCTCGGCATGGGTCAAGGTAAAAAGCTGGAAGAATATGAAGAAGAGTCGAATGAGCCCGGTTCCAAATCCTACAACAGGGAGAGCTAAGAAAGAGCAAAGTGGCTTAAGGAAGATGAGCAGTCAAAGGATCTATTTTGCAGCACTATGATGATCAATTTCTTGCAATTTAATACAATTTAGTAGCCATGAGCACTGATTTTGTCTCTACTAAGTCAATTCCATTTTTTTTAATACAACCTTCAGATGACATAATCTTGTTTTGAGTTTAAAAGCCTATATTGTCAAACAACTCTGATTGCAACATATTTATGCCAATTTCGCTAAGTAGTTTTGCTATATATATACTTTTATTTTTGTTGAAAGTTTTTGTGGTGGTAAGCAGTCAACTGTATACTTACCGTTTTGGTTGTGTTTGCGCCTCTTATTGGAGAAATGGTTACATGTGGTGATTGCACGTTCAGAGGGCATATTAGATGGGTGGTCATGCGATACACGACAATGTCGGACTGAAGTCCGAACGTGTAGTTAGCCTTACATAATAATTTTCTCACTTATTGACTTTTGAATGGTTATAAAGATGATTTACATGTACAATCGATAAAAATAGGTTGTGTTTATAGTAGCCTTTTTTTTTTAATTTTTTTTAAATTTGTTAGAAAAATGAAATTGAGCGATTAATTGTAGCAAATAACTAAATAACTAAAAAATGACAGAAAATGTATAAATATGTTAATTGGAGAATGAGAATATATTAAGGGGTTTATACATACATACCATTCAATTCCTATGTATTTACATATTGAACATGTAAAGTTTACTTTTGCCTGAACCAGCCAGCAAGCCAACCAACCAGCAGAACACCATCCCATCATAAAACATACCACATGACCACTCTCCTACGAACATGATCTCTCAAACCTCACAATATACTAAACCTACAACACAAGACTCCACCTCCTTTGTATGGGCCAGCAAGATTCCTCACTGACGCCAAGTCATGTCACTCAAATTCTTAGCCTTCTAACATTAGGGCACATGGACACTTGTTCCCCCTCCCCAAAGCACTCAAAAAATTATGGGAAGAAAATAGACATACAAGACAAAATTTCACTCCAACAGGACAGAGAGAAAATATTAAGCTTGCTTAATGGCACAAAGATGTGTAGAACAGCTTGAAATCAACTACAACCAGACATTCAACCCAGTTGACAAGTTTCCTACCATACGAATGTTTTTAGCATTAGCAGCATCCAAAAAATGGAAGGTACAACAACTTTATTTATCAAATGTCTTTCTTCATTAGAAATTAGAAGATACAAAATACATGGCACAACCGCTCCGATTCAAAGACGTCATACATCCGGACTTTCTATGCAAGCAGAGCAAAACCATCTACTGCCTTAAATGGGCCCCATGATAATGGTATTCCATCTTCTTCCAACATCTTTTAGTTTACACTTCACATTAAGCATTGCAGACCACTCCCTACTCATATACAACAAACACATAGTCATAATATTTCTACTAAAATTCGTCGATGACATAATAAAAACAGGAAATTTGCCCATTATCATCAAATTTTTTCTTACAAAACAAAACACTCAATTTGCAATCAAACAACTAAGAACAGTTTCCCAATTCTTAGGCCCTCAAGTGCACCACACCACCAAAGGTTTTTTCGTAGAATAGAGCAAATATCTACTTCATATACTCACCCAAACCGACATGCTCAACTCCAAACGTATTCTATCCCCTCTTCACCCAAATCCACAAGTGTCAACAATTCACTAAAAGACCTACAAAAAATTTAGACAAACCATAGGTTCTTTACGGTACGTCATGGTAACAAGGCTAGGTATATCACTCACCATCAACCATCTCAGTCAGTACATGCACGCTCCTCAACCACACCACCACCAGCTCCTCAAGAGATTGCTGAGATGTCTCAATGGCACAAGACATTTCAGCATGCCCATTGTCGCTAGAGACCTGCAACTACAAGCAGACACAAATGTTGATTTGGCCACCAATAAAGAAGACAGACATTCATTCACAGACTTTTGCATCTTTCTTGGCCCTAACCTAGTCTCATGGTCAACAAAAAAACAACCATCCAGCGCTCACACCTCCACCGAAGCATAATACGGAGTTATGGTCTCAGTAACAACTAACATTCTCGGGCTTCAATATCTACTACGTGAGATGATAGAAACTCAACTCCCACCACTCCTCTATTCAGTGACATCACTTCGACAATCACTCTAACACATAACCCAGTTTTCCATCAGGAATGAAACACATTGAAGTGGACTACTACATCAGAGGCCACTTACAACAAACTGAAATCTTTCTCAATCACATTATGTTCCAAGACCAAATAACATACATATTTACCAAATCCCTTCCATCAACCCGCACCACACTCTACTGTCCAAACTGGCCCTTTAAGCCAATGGGTCTCAGTTTGAGGGGGGATAAAACGGGATAACCAACCTGGTCGCCACAGTTAGCATAATGTGGCATACCAGTGAAGCATAGCTCACCTCCACTATCATTTTCCAACATGCATCTTCACTCTAAATTCCCGTCTTTTCTACTGAAGCACAAGGTCGTTCCATCTTTGGGGATTCACTAATAAGAAGGGACAACAAAAGCTAGGTTTGAATATGGGTGGAAGAAAGGGAAAGAAGATTGTGACGTAAAGAGACCGAGAAGTCGGTAAAAAGGCAATATGTACTTAGCTTGATTTTTGGGCCTCAGTTTTGTCCTCTTTCAGAAGGAATATTTTTAAAACTACATAAAAATCTTAACACATTATTATAATAAAAGTTCAGCTCATTCTACTTCAAAATAAGCAATTTTGGTGATTAAAAAGGGATAATTTAGTGAGAATTTAATTATGGGGCATTTAAATACAAGACACCCAATTCCTATGTATTTACTTAACTAACACCTAATTTTTAAAAATTTTACATTATATTCTGTGTTTTATGAGGGGGTGGTGTTTGGTTGGTTGGTTGGTTGGTTGGTTTAGGTATGTTTGTTTGGGTAGTTTGTGTTTGGTTTGATGTTTTATGGGAAGAGGACTGTCGTTGTGGGAGTGGATGTTGTTGTGAGGTGGGGGGTTTGGATG